CAGCTTCTCGCGCGGGGCCCCAACGGCGCCGCTCTCGGGGAAAACGCCCCTCGGGTGCTCGGAGCTGCGTGCCGGAGGCTGCGGAGTCCTGCTGCCCGCAGCCGGGCGGCGTGCCTGGAAAAGGCCCGCGGTGCGGTGTCAGAGGGAGCGCTCTGCGGGCAGGAGCGTGGGGCGTTTCGGGCGGCGGGGTCCGTACAGGGGTGAAATACGCGCAAAAAAAAGCAGTCTGACACTTTTGGCCCTCCGTGAACCTGGATGACCAGGCTGCAGGCGCTCCTCCCGCACACCGGCCCTCTGACCGTCTCAGCAGCCGTCTGCTGGACTGGGTCCCCTTCGTTGATGTCCTGGGGAGCCCAGACCTGGACACAGCGCTCCAGGTGAGGCCTTACCAGTGCCAAACGGAGGGGGATCGCTAACGCCCCTCAGCCGGCTGGCTGCCCTTCGGTACAGCCGGAGCACTGGATGTTCTTCTGCAGACAGAGAATTGCACAGGGGCAAATCAATTTTTTTTTTTTTTTTTTTTTTTAGTTTTATGCTGGGTTAAAGCCAAAACCAGACTGACACAGAAGACCAAAAATCTTTGCAGGCTGGAGTTCTTAATGTCAGATATTACAGTGTTTGTCACTGTGGGTGGATAAACTCTTCTGGTTCAGGTGGTTTTCCTGGGATAATCCATCATTTTCTGCTCAGAGGCCACAGCCGAGTGGATGCTTGTTGCCGCCAGGTTTCAGGATTGAAAGAGTAACTGCTGTGGCCAAGGTGTCTGCAGAAGCAGGGCTGGGGCGGCGGGTGCTGCCAGGCTCCGGAGGAGGGCACGGCACGGCCCCGAGTCCAAGTGCTTTTCTCTCCTGTCTTCCTCCTCCCGAATCACCACAGGAACTGCTGTCACTGCACAAATCTGGCTGCTCCCATGACATCAGCCTCAGCCCAGCGCCATGAGCCGCACAGGACCTGGGGGGCACAGAGGACGGTGTAGAGCAGAGTGGTCCCCATCGCTGTACAGCAACTTGTGTGCTAATGCTTCTCTGGCAGAGCCTGTGAGCTGTGTGCTGGGAGTTTGTGGAAGCAGAGTGGCTTGCTAAAAATACCACAACAGGAAAAAAAAGTGGCAGAAAATGTAGTTATCAGTTCGGATTTACTTTTTAACCTGGAAATCTCACATGGGGTTTTAACATTGCAGGTTTCTAGAAGCAAGAGAAAAAAACGCAGAAAGAATTAAAATAGAAAGCAGCTAAAAAAATAACTCCAAAGTTTTGAGGGAAATAGATTTTTTTTTTTTTTTTACCAAAACATCAGCATAGTGTTTGTGTATTGGGTTTTTTGAGAGCACTATATTTCATTCAGAAGTTTTCCTCATTTAAAAACAACACAGAATCTTAGCACACCTGCCATGAGAAGGCACATGTCAGAAACCACTTCCTTCTCCACAGAAATCGGTCTTTCTAGATCCCACTGGATTCGAGATGTGGGAAATAATCCTTTGTTCTGCTGCTCCCACCGAGAGCACATGGCTTTTGGCAGCCCAGGGATGTGTCTATGCCAATTTGTGATCTGTTTCTCCTTGTGCACTGTCCAGGACTCCAGCTTCAGTATCCAACGTCAGCGGCCATGGTTAACATTATTGGAAACCCTCGGACATTAGACGTACCTACCTGTTCTGGCTGACTGACCACGAGCGGCAGCCCTTCCCAGGGAACGGCGGTCCTCCTGCGCTGGCAGCCACCATGAACACCGGTGCTGCCTCTGCCTGTTCTCGGCCGTGTCTCAGACAGATCCTGGCCCCCTCCAAGAGTTTCTGCTCGGCTCAGCTGGATCAGCTGGGATCCAGTGTTTCCCCACACATCAAGGAAGCCAATAAATACACCTGTGGACAAATTAAGCTTTGCAGCCCGGGAAGGGTCTGTCTGCCTTCTCTGGAAAGCAATTCTGGTCTCACCTGCACAGCCTTTATTTATGCTCAGCATGAACGGTGTCATGAACCCCAGCTGGCTCGCTGTCAGGGAGCAGCAGGAGTGGGATGCTGTGCTGGGACAGGTGAGCCGGAGCCGAGCTGGCAGCAGGACAGGCAGGGCACTGCCCTACCCAGCACAGTGCAGGCCAGCGGTAAATGGGAGCAGAGCAGGTCCAGTGACAGCAACCAGATGAGCATGCAAGTCCCACAGCGATGAGGCAGGTCTGCGGTCAAGGGAGGATGTCAGTCCATGGGTTGGGGTCAGGGTCCAGATCAGCACAGGAATGGCTGACCTGGCTCATGCAGAGACCAAGGGCAAGGGTCTGCGATTAGGCGACATTCCTGAAGAAGAGGGAGGAAGCTCCCAGTAGGTGTCCTCCAGCTCTTTCCCTTCAAGGGCAGCTCTACAGCTATGCTATCAAAGAGCTGGCTTGAGCGCAGGCAGCCACACTGCTGGCACTTCCCTTGCCTGCTGGAGAGTTGAGCTTGTTGGCCGGCCTCCCTGTAACTCAACAGAGAAAATCAGGCACATGGCAAGGGCAACGCACCTGGCCAGCCTTCTGCCTCCACTTTGGCACCGGAGGAACTGTGCTTAGAAAAACACCTCTTGCATTGACTGTAAAAGGGGGCCAAACCAGCTCCAGCGAGCGGTCTGTGAGGCCACCTCTGCACTTGGCTGAAGTAATCCCCTGCAGGAGACTCTCCCTTCCTCCCTGACCGGCCACCCGAGGTGTGGCAGTTGCGCAGGGGTGGCTCTGTGCCCGCAGGGGTTTATCTTCGCCTGCACAAGGGCCTCTGCCAGCCAGAGGCAGGGAGCCTTCCGCTGCCTCTGCGCAGCCCACGCGGGGTCACTGCAGTCTGCATGACTGCAGAAGCTGACTGCTCTGCTGCCAAGAGAGGCGGTGTGCTGTGCAGATCATCAGCCCTGGTGGGGATTAGAAGAGGGCCAGCACGGGTCAGGGGAGTTTACAGACTCATCTGGACATAGTCCCTGCCCTCCACACCGAAGTGCATGCAGCAGTCCAGCGATGAGTTTTCTGTGTCCAGCTCGCCCCACCATGCCTCACCCTGCTTGTACCTGCTCTTGTCAGAGTGTTGCTGAAGGTCCCCACAGGTCTGGCTGACCTCCAGGCTGGGTTCCAAGGTGCACAAAAGGGTTGGAGATGAGGGACTCACCAAGCCAGTGTGCCTTGGTCACAACAGGCACTCCACATTTGGGCAGTTTATACCTCAGGACAGTTTCTCGCCCCTTCTTTGTTGGCCAGAGCATCCAGAGAGGCTGGGAACCAGTTGCAGATCTCCATGG